TAATCATTATGTACTTTTTTAACTATATAAATTCCTTTTTCTTTCTTTTTGATCTCTTTCCTTCTGATATTGTATGGATAAAATTCATAATCTATGTTCCACCACTCGGAACTGAATTCCAGAAGACTATGCAGAGATTTAATTCTGAAATAGCTAATGCAAAATGGATGATGGCTTAAAGGATGAATGAAAATAAAATCTCAACATCTCAATGTAGATAAATAATTTTCAGGTTCATTCCTTGTATCTCAGTGAATCAGCCCAATGAAGCACAAGTTCATTACTTTCTGCCAGACATGCCAATGACACATTAAATAGCATTACTATAGACATCTGAAGTTATGAGGGATCTGAAAAAAATGTACTGACTACTGACTAAAATCAGTTCAAATTCTGAAAATATAAAATTATTCCCATTGAATAGATTTTGTTTTAATGGATATTGTTTATTTAGTAATGTCCTTCTGTGAGACTACTCATAAATAAAAAGAAATAAATATTCCTAAGTACTTTCCTGGGTCAGTGAATAAAATTCCGAGTAAATTAACATTTGTGTGAAATACTAAAAATGTGTGAAACACAATAATTTACTATAAAATACATGTATAAGATATAGTAAGAAAAAAATATCATGCAGCACCTAGTTTTCCATTTTCTATACCTAAACTCTCACTCCTGCCTTTTCTAGTTAATGGAAACAATCAGTTTTGATTTAATTTGTCTTGAATGGGATTCATTTCATACAAACTCACATTTGAACTAATCAGAGAATCTTAAAAAACAGCCCAGGTTTTGAAGGACCTCAAAAGATCATATGGCCCCACCTTTTGTGTGAAAGGGAGCCTACATGAGATTATCTAGCACCCTATCCAACTGCATCTTGAAAGGCTCCAGTGATGTTTTTTCATCACATCACCTATATTTTGCTTATGGTGGAAACAAATAGGTATTTCTAGAGCATTTCATCATAGGGCAGTGCTCACCCCGAGGACTCACAGAAACCTTTATGAATGTTATTTACCCCTTCAACCAAGTACAGAGCGAGAGAATCACCCAGCCCCACACCACAAAACGCCAGGAAGTGTTTTTAGTCCTCTGATCATCAGGTGGGCCATGAACATGCTCAGAGAACTGTAGCACCTCTGCTATGATAACAGGCTGAGAAAGTTGGGTCTGTTCAGACTGGAGAAGAGAAGGCTCTGAGGAGACCTTTGAGCACCTTCCAGACCCTAAAGGAGTTACAAGAGAGCTGGAGAGGGACTTTTTACAAAGGCATGTAGTGATAGGACAAGGGAGAACAGTTTTAAAGTGAAGGAAGGGAGATTTAGATTAGATATTAGGAAGAAATTCTTTACTGTGAGGATGATGAGGCACTGGTACAGGTTGTCCAGAGAAACTGTGGATGCTCCACTGCTGAAAGTGCTCAAGGATGGATGGAGCTTTGAACAACCTGGTCTGGTGCAGGTTCCCTGCCCATGGCACAGGGGTGAAACTAGATGAAGTTCAACGTCCTTTCCAACTCAAACCATTTTATGATTCTGTGATTCTATGAATCTGAAAAATTCTGTTGAATCAGCAATCTGTCATCTCATGTTTCATTTCCTTTCACAGTGTATTGTGAACACCTTGAAAATTGAGGTCCCAGCCAGGTGAATATCAATTGGTATACCTTCTTTGTGAATTTCAACCTGAATACTCTTCCCCTCTGTTTGCCTCTCTCTCTTCCCTCCAGAGAACTGACTGTTCCTTTTGTGTTTTGCAGAGTGACAACCTGATTAGCCACCAGGGAAATAAAATTAATTTTCCTCTCTGATGAGCAATACAGAAACTATATTAATCTCTGAATTAACATTTTCTGTATTCACAGTCTCTCCACACCAATAGACTACTTCTAAAAATAAATTTATTTTTCAAGGAAAAGAAATGATTTTCAATTTTCCACACTATTGTATTACATTCTGTAAAAGCAAGATTTTCCCCAGTCATGATTTGGAGTTATTTATTTTATCCATACCCTTAGGCAGAACTAGTAGCAGCTTGAGTAATTGTGGAGAAAAACAAACAGTAGTAATCAGATGTAAAAAACAGGAAAGTCAGTTTGCTGTTAAATTGTTGCTGAAAGTTATCTACAGAAGCATCTTCAGAGTGAAGACAGTAGGTAGCAGACAGAACAAACTGGTCTCCTCTCCTAAAGTTCACAAATTTTGTAGCCTTCTGTCTCATGTATTTACCCCAATGGGTCATAAGTCTTTAACAAATGTGAGCCAAACTGACATACACTTAAGCTTCAATTTAGTAAAATGTAGGTTATCTGAGTTTGTGTCTATGCAGTGCACATCCTCACATCCTGCAAGTGTGAACCAGCAGTACATTCTAAAATGATAGAAATTAAGAACAAGAGGGAGGAAAGTCTAAACAGCAAGGAATCCAGACATGCCACTGTAAAACAAAGAAATTAAAAAACCCAAATAAAATTCTTGAAAACATTTTTTAAAGCTACAATTAAAAAATACAAAAAATCAAACTATGAAACGACAAACAAATAGATTAAAAAAAAACCAGTCCAACACCAAAAAAAGCAAGAAACATGTACTTGTTTTTGCCCCTTACTGGTTTATTACTAAGGCTGGACTAGGGAAGTAATTCAGAATCCCTACCTTTGCCAACAGCACTCCTTTTAGTAGTCTGTGTTGAGTTGAATTCCATTCCCCCCACTGGCAGGATGGGAGAGAATAGGAAGAACAAAGCAACAAAACTTTCACAATAGCAACAGTTTCAAGATAAAGACAGTTTAATAACTCAAGACAAAGGTAAAAACAAACCAAGTGATGCGAAGGCAATCAGTCACCACCTCCCACAAACAGACCAATACCCATTCAGTCTCTGAGCAATGGTTGCTTCCTCCAAAGAACACTCCCCACAATTTTTACTGCTGAGCATTATGTTATATGGTACGAAATATCCCTTTGGTCAGTTCAGGTCAGCTTTCCTGGCTATGTCCCCTTCCAACTTCTTACCCACTCTTTGCCTGTTCATTGAGAGGAGGAAAAGTGGGAAAAAAGAGAAAGCCTCAATGGTCTGCAAGCACTGCTCAGCAATACCAAACACAGTGGCATTTTACTAATGTTTAGTCACAAACCAAAATGCAGCACCCTACTGGCTGTCACAAAGAAAATTAATGCTGTCTCAGCCAGACCCAGTACACAGTCCCTTGGGTCACACAGTACAATTAGTAACGTTGAGTTGGACATTTACAAAAGAGGTCTCTCGCAACCAGAATGCAAGTAGCAGGAAGTGTGCTCAAACAGTGTTGAAGGATGATGGTTCAGAAGTCCCACCTTGAAGTAGATGACTGAATATGTAAGAGATCAAGGTACCAGATGAAAATAAAGCAAGTCAAAAGAATCACTCAATAACCCTTGATTGGCTCCCACTGATTAAGTATTTTGTGTGATATTAACAAGGTTGTGTAAGCTGGAACCCATGGTGAATTGAGACTACCCAAGCCTCACTGCTGAGGCTTGAACAGAAGGCTTGAACACTGTCTTTTGAACAGAAGTGCTGGAGTACCTCTCTTCTAATCTGAGTAACATTTAGAAAATAGGGGGCTTTTTACAGAGGTAGAAGATGTAGGTATGATTTTCTAAAAGTTAGATGAGTTCTTCATCCTCAACCTCCTACTTTCTGGACAACTACCCTTAATCACTATGCTATTATATTAATAGTTTAATATGTTTTATAATACTGCCTTCTTCAGTGGTGTTTCCAAGTGCCCAAACATCTTCGGAAGCATTTCTTTCGAACTGAAAACCCACCATATTCAAATAAAGAGAACTTTATCTTACTATTATTTCATACAAATGCAAAGACATAATTTTGATAGAAGTAAAAAATAAGAAATCTTCCATTCTCTCAGGAACTTTGGCAACAGCCCACCTTATCTCAAATCTCATAGAACCAGCCTCTACCACCTGACCTGTTTACCCAACCCCACTCTGATTATGGTAACAGGCTGTGGTAGTAGAAAAGTCTCTTTGCAGATCTATCTCCTGGTCCACTGAGATGTTTCTGAGTTTCCTTCAGCCATATGGCCTACAGTTGTTTTAGGAAATTTTGCGTAATGCTTCCATTGAATTCCCATGTATGCGGTGAGGAGCAGCACTATGCTTTTCTCTTTGATTCCTCACCTCTGCTGTGTTACCTCAACAGTTCTGGAGCACTTCTTGGTTCTGAAAAACAATCCTTAAGGGATGTAACTTACCATTTTGTGAGGAATAACTTTCATCAAGTTTAGAGGTTTTTTTATGTGCAATAACAATACAAGCAGCAGGAGGGCAGTTCATCAATACACAATAGACCTGACTCAGTACTTTACTGAGATTGTCTGTAAGAGATTCAGTCTGATAGTATTAATCAACACCAAGAAAAGAACTGCAAGATCATGCAGCTGCACTTTATCTTGACCTAGAGAGATCACCTCCAAGTAATAAAAGCAAGTTTAGTTCCTCTGGCCATGTAATTTCTGCCTTGCTGATAAGACTGTCAAAGCCCATGTCATTTATGGTTGCTACAGATGTTATTCTGAGATACAGTTGTCAGTGAATCAACTGATAACTGCCAAAAAACAGTCAACAGGGGGTAACAATTTTTATCTATACTGCCTTGCACTGCAGACCGGAAAAGCACTGCACATGGACTGAATGTGAACTGGCTTTATCCTCATACAGTCAATGTGATAAATCAAACAAATCAGTAAAAACTAACCACTACTCAATAAATTATTTTGTTTTGGTTTAGGCCAAATATTGTAGGAAACTATATTTCAAAAATGAATGAAATAACTGGAAAATTTTTAATAATCACATATATGACAAATCTGACTATAGTACTATCTTTATAGTAAAAAAAAGTAAATTAATTTGAAACAAGGCTAGAGACAGAACACTTTGGGCATAAGATATTCTGTACACCAATAAAAAAATCAAAGTGGAATGACTTACCACTTCTTCATGGGTAGCACTTTCTACATTTATACCATTAACCTAAAAACAGATATGATAGGGAGAAAATGATTCGCAATGTGTAAATTAGTTACTGAAATAAAAGCAAGTATGAAACAAAAGTCTGTGGAAAAAAGTGAATGTTTACTGACCTGTATTATTGCATCTCCTATAAATAACATTCCTGTTTGTTCAGCTGTGGGATTACAGAAGGAGTAGATTTTAATTGATAGCAATACTGAAAAAAAATGCCATATTCTCTTCCAGCAATTGGTTTAACATGCTGTTAGTAATCTTCATTTGAAACTGATTTGGTTGTGAAAATACCAACGGCACAGCAATCAGTATGCATCCTACAAAGGTAATAGATTCCCAGCAATTTTAAACAAATTAAGAGAGCTACTTTCCATGCACAAAGAACTTGTTTAGTGTGGAATGCAAATGTCACTTCTCACTAATGAAGGATTTCATTAAATTATGTGGAAAATGTGATTCAAACTTTTCATTATTCTTCCACAAAAGGGAAGCAGGAATTTCTGAAACTACTTAGCAATTCCTTTCCCCCTGAACAAATTTACAGGGACTGCTGTAATTAAAGAGGTTGTGCCTAGAATTTAATATAACTCTTTAACATGAAGTTTAAGCTATCTTTGTTCCCAAGAATAATGTTATTCCAATGTGCAATTTGTATGTTTCCTGCCCTACAGAGTTAATGGGAATAATGCAATGAAACTGCAAACAATTCTGCACAGATACAAAGAAAGACATTTTTTGAGGTGTATTCTCTTACTTTTAAGTTCTTTATTTTTTCTGTGGAATTCGAGGATGTCTATCTCATGAAATGTATTACTTAATTGAAAGTAAGGCTCTGACCCCGCAAAGACTGATAGTATTAAGTAAGACCTATTAGTCTTATATAAGGTCTTTCAAGTCACAACTTGAGGCTTAGAAGAATGCAACAAATGTTAACAAAGGCGGTATTATAAGAGATGGAAATAGAGGTAAAAAAAGAAAGAAAAACTTCATAGAATATTCTCACAATTTCTGCAATACAGCTGTTGCCACTATAAATTTACTTTTGGTGCAAAATAGTGCTTTTTTAAAATTAATTTTTTTTCCAATAGATTTTTCATCACTCTTTTCACAGATAGAAGATAGCAGTTCATTAGTCAATACCTAGGAAATATTTCACTTTGTTTTAAATAACATGCTACAAGTTGCACTGAAGGTCTTTACTCCACTTCTCATCCTACTTTGTACTAAAAATATGCATACAATTTGTAATAGGTGGTATAGAAAAGAGACATCTATGTACAGAAATTCAATTGAATTTAAGCTGTTCAAAACCATTACAAAGCAATACAAAGTAGCCTATATTGGGTACATACTTTGCTAGAGGTTCTGAGCATTAGGTTGCATGTCTCAATACTAAACTTGTATTCGATGTCTTAGTAATATACATACCAATAGTGAAATACACATGAACAATTTTTAATTCAGCGTGTATGTTAGGGCTGTTCTAGAAAAGTGGAAGCATACTTGAATTGGAGGTAGAAGGAAGGAGGTGTGTTTGAAATTCCAGTTGCAGGAAAGTAGAAAAGGATAAATTCAAAGGGTGCACACCTTGCCCAATGTGTGTGATTGACTCAGAAGTGAGTGCAGAAATTTTGATTATGTCTGTATTAGCAAGTTGTTGTGGTTTAAATCTACTGTCAACTATGTACCACGCAGCCACCTGCTCAACCCTCCTTTCAAACCCCACAGATCACTATCTGCCAGTCCGCACTGGGATGGGGAGAATAACTGAAAAAAAAAGGTAAATCTTGTGAGATAAGAACAGTTTAAGAACTGAAGTAAAGTATAATATGATAATAGTAGTGGAAAGGAGATAGTGTGTGATAAAATCCAAGAGAAAAAAGTGAGGCACAACACAATTCCTCATCACCAATGCCCATCCCATCCCTGAGCAGTGATTAGCAGCTCCCAAACAACTCCCTCCAGTTTATATACTGAGTACGATGTTCTGTGGTACGGAATACTCCTTTGGCCAGTGTGTTATCAACATCATTCCCATACTCAATACAAAACAGGAACTAAGAACAAAATTAATTAATTCCGTCCCAGCTGAAACCAGAACAGAATAGGTATGTGTGATGAGGCAGAACAGAGAGAGATCACAAATCAAAGCAGTTGGTGCTGAAGCTCCTTATACCCACACTGTAAGGGTTTCAGGGATTTTGAGATCAGTTAGACTGGGCTTTCAGTCTAAATGCTCTCAAGTGAAGAGCAGCTGCCTAAGGAAAGCTATTACACAAAACTTTCTGTTTTGTGGGCTCCTAAGCAACCTAAGGCACACCAGTGCCACACAAAGATGCACTCCTGCTGCCAGTAATAGCTGTAAGAGGCCACAATACACAGAAGCAGACCTTGCTTACAAGTAATGCAGTGGTTCCTGAAACTGAAATCCATGTAAAGGTTGGACATCAACTGAACAACTGTAACACAGGGACAGTGGGTTCTCAACCTCCGGCAGGAGGACAACCCTAATAAGCCAATCCTCTGATATTAGATTGTCTTTGTGGGGGTTGCAGTAGGATTCATGCTCCAATGTTCTGCAGCAAGGCATATGTGTTTGTTTATGCTTCAACAAGTACCAGTCAGCTGATTTGCAGCCACAGATGTGATGAGTATGGCATACGTGGGCAGCAGGCAGTGCTGTTTTCCTGAGACCCTCATGTTGGCTCTGCTGGGTGGTCAAAGCCGCTGTTGCTATTGGGAAGATCAGTTAGAAACAGCAATACGGAAAAAAGCACAGTAAAGAAAGAGATATGGGGATGTGAGAGATGAGTTTGGAAAGAATTTCTGTAAGAGATCAAAAGAGAAAAACGTAAGGTAAGAAAGCAAAGCATACTAAGCCAGAAAATGTTTGTGTGAAAGCTGAGATCCTGATGGAAGAGTGTATGGTGAAGATTTGCAGGCAGGTAGGTAGGTATCGCCATCCTCCTGGATATTCATCTATCTGTGATCCACTGCTTAGTGACACAACAGCACAGTTGTGCAATGGTGTCCAAGACTTCCAAGAAAACTACTTGGTTCTAACAAAAGTTATAATAAAATACATAGACTACTATTTATTTATGCACAAAAGGAAAGGTTAAATTCCAGACACAGGTAAAATTCTTGCGATAGAGTTAGTTAACAACTCAAGGCTTAAAAAGGAAAAGCAGCAATATGAAAAGGTATAAAACCTCAAGAAAGAAAGCCAGATAGCTGTAGGATTGTAACTTAGCAGCACTGAAGACAATTCCCTTCGAGGGAGCAATGGAGGTCGAACCTTTCTCATCGAACTGTTGACTGACAGGTCAGCAAAGACTCATTGCTCATTTCACAGGGGTGATGAATACTGCAATATTCCCAGCTACCTTACGGGTGTTAGCCAATACATTTTACAGTTTAAGGGCACAAAGCAATTATATCCTGCTTGCAGTCTCTAAAAACAATCAAGGCTGTCCACATAAGTAAATGAGAGAAGTAGCATTATGTGGTCAATACCAAATACTCAGTGAACTGAAACAAAACCCAGGAAATTGGGACAACCAGGGCATTTACTCTAGAAGTGCATTACACTGCATACTAAACCAATAATGTAGACACCTGCTGCTGCTGTTATGGCAGTGCTTCCACGTCTATGGTGAAACACTTTGGGTTTAGACAATGGTCTATAATTTGAAATCAATAACGATTTCTAACAAATATGTGTTCCCCAAATCAAATTCTAGAGGATGTGCCAGTACAATGCAGAATTTACAATATAGTTTACAAGTACATTAGAAATAAAGTGACTGGAAAAACTCCTTGGAAATAGACAAAAAAAAGAAGTCTTTTTTCTCTAAGGTATATTTAAACCTGAAGACAAAACATCTACTGATGTTTTCATGAAGTCACATGTTCTCTACATGACAAAAATATTGAGTAAATTCTTCCAGGCTATGTGGAACTCTTTCTCCTACTGGTAACATCCTCATATACAAAGGTGTTTATGAAAGGCTGCTCTAAAATTATCAGTCACTATGGGTAAAATGAATCAATACTAAAAACAAAATACTTGCGGAAGAGCTTTGGGATACCAAGGAGCATATAACCTTATTCAGTGAAATAATAAACACAACTTTTTCAGAATCCAGTTTGCCTCTTGAAGTTTTATTTGAAACGATATTTTAGTAGCAGTGAATTGAACATGTCCGAAAAAAAAAAACCCAAAAAACTTTGAAAAGAAAATAAGCACAAAGCAGTGAAAAGCAGAAAGGTACCAGGTTGTAAAAGAAAATGAAGTGTGTGTTACAACAACTAGTGCTACATAACCTTTACTCTACACTGTAATTATGTTTAAAAACATTTAATATTGATTAGTTGCTGTACATTGATTAAATTCAAAAGTGATACTGAATTGAACAAAGCATGAGAGAAACCTAAAGGGGCTTATGTTGAAATAATGGTATGAAAATAAAAATTTTAAAAAAAAACCCACAGTTTTGAGAATATTAGACTTGAAATATTTTCCTAAATGCAAATGACCCCTCATTCTAATCTTAAAAAAAAAAAAAAAGAATCTCTGACAGAGTCAGGAGCTATTAAAAGTTCTTTAGCATTCAGTGAGAAGTGAAAAAAACAAGTAATCCTTTCTAGCTTTGCTTCATTTACTTTTACTATCCACTAGGGTTGTATCAAATTTTCCAAAATTTGCAAGGTTGTGAAATGGAAACTTTACTGAACATAGTTTTGGGAATTTCTGACTTACAACATATTAACTGATGAACATCTCTATGAAGATTTGAGTCTGTAAATAATCTGATGTCCTTGTATTTTTCAAGATTGGTCACAGTACTCAATTTTTATTGAATTCCTGAATCATACGAGAAACACATCAGGTACTACATCCTATGATAAAAAGTGCTGCTTAAAGCACATAATGAGCTGCACTGACTTCATGGACTTGCAATTCATAAGCTTAAATTTATGCATAAGTATTTCACTGCTTAAAGATAATCGAAAGGAATAGTTAAGAAACTAGATGAAATAAAAAGACTGAAAAAATTAGTATTAAGAATGCAAATGACTACTCCAACATATCCAGATGTATTTTTCCCTCTTCTCCCATGAACTAGACATAACTACAGTAATGACTGTAAAGATACC